TCTCTCTCTCTCTCTCTCTCTCTCTCTCTCTCTCTCTCTCTCTCTCTCTCTCTCTCTCTCTCTCTCTCTCTCTCTCTCTCTCTCTCTCTCTCTCTCTCTCTCTCTTTCTTTCTTTCTCAAAACAAACCTATTTTTCTTCGAAAGTTTTGCAAATAAGAAACTTAAGGGAATACAGAGTAAGGCTAACAGTAATCCAACCAAAGTTACGGAACCGATGTATTGCCAACTGATATACAAATAGATTATGCCATTAAAGGGAACCAATATAACGTAACCCATCGCTACCGACAACTGAATAGATACCAGAAATAAAACATAAAATATAGTCATTTATATGCTTATCACATGTTATGCCACACAAACGGCATTCACCTCTTCAAACCGCGAGACATCGTTTGTCATGAGATTCACAATCTGTCCGATAGTTGTCTTCTCGAAGGCTGTGGTCTTCAGTCGCAGAGACTTGTTGTACAGGAGTGCAGACCAGCCGACCCTCACTTTGACGGCCGCGCGATAACACATTAGGCAATACGGGTGTGAGATTAGGATATGACTCAGTGTTGAGACCACAACACCGGCCGCACACAAACACGCCGTCACGTATGGCATGGGGTTTGGCTCCGATTCGGGGGCAGAGAAATACCGTATCACACGACCGATCATCACGATTGAGAATGGTGAAATAATTGTGCTCTATTAGTATAGTTTTATAAAATGATAAATTTTTATAAAATTAATAATAAAAATAATTAGGTTGACAATTGTTACATAGATTAATTGTATTAGCATCGGTGGCAATAAATATGGGAAATATGTCTTGAGCGAGGCTCTCATAAAACTTGGGGTAGTTTTCTTCAGCTCGTTGTTCCAATTTCTATTAAAATTAACATGTTATAATTATAGATTATTTGAAAATTTATTAATTAACAATTTCTATCAAAATAATAGTTTTTTTTAAATAAATAGAGTTTTGCAAATATTTATTGCCCATAATAAGTTGTTGACAAAACCAAAATAAATGTTAAGTTATACTAACAAATTGTGAGTTTAATTTATACCTTATTGCAGTTTCACTGATCACAATTAGCATTTTTCAATATTTGCATTTTAGTCACAATAACACATACCTTTCTAATTTGGACAATATATACTCTGAGTGTTGGCTTTCGGAACAGTTGCCCAAATCATTGACATCGATGTCCTTTTTCAGACCTTTTAGAAATATGGGAAACATCCATCTAAACAATTTAATATGTTGGTCATTCTACATTTTTTAAACTAAAGTGTCAAGTGATATTTTTTTATAATAATTAATACTTAACACACAAGGAATAATATTTGCTTAAAGAACTGGCATGGTCATAAATAGACCCATTAGACACATGTTTTTTATCCTTCATTATTTGCAACAATTTTTATTTACCAAAAACAATATTATTTAAATAATCACTCTTAAATCAATTAATTTTAAATATTAAAAATTTCAAATAATATTAAATAAGTTGTTAAATAAATATAAAAGTTTTAATAGAATTTATGTTATAATGGAATTTAAACTCTAAATAATAATAATTATATAAGTTAATAATTAATATTATTAAGTAAGAAAATAATTAAGAAAATTTTGTAATTGTCATTTTTTGCAGCTCCACTTTGTAATATTTTTAAAAATAATGTACATGCTTATTTATTAATATACTGTATTTTTCATGTAAGTAATGATGATGCAAAAAAATTAGCACTCAATTTATGAAAATCATTATGTCATCAATGAATTTGTTGAATTTTATAACGTTTTTAAGATGTTTTAATTATATTTTATTGAATGTCATTTTATAATAAATTATAATTGTGTTAGTTCAAAATTAGTGCAATTCTACCAATATGAGCCAATTTTAATTAATATTATTATTTGTAAAAATTAGTATTCTATGCCTAAAACAAAGTTCATTAAAATAATTTTTACATCAATTATTTATCATGCTTAAAATGTCATATATTAATGATAATGAAATTGTTTGATTCATATTAATATCATAATCATATATCAATTTTAATTAATTAAATAAACATGGATGATTAAAAACACAACATATACTCAAATTGACTTCATTTTTAAACAAATATTTATTTAATAAAAATTTGATTTTACATCCGTTTTGATTAAATTAAAAATTATTTGCAAATACAATACAATGTATTCATTAACTTCTGATAATATTATTATTGATTTTTATACCAATTAATTGATAATTTTGGGAAATTTTCTTGAAAAGTTTATCATGTGTATAAATGTACCACTAATGTTGAACATAAGCACCAATTCAATGAGTGAATAGAATTTAGATTTATATATTCTAACTTTATTATTCTAAATTCTCTCTCTCTCTCTCTCTCTCTCTCTCTCTCTCTAAAAGTCTAAAAATATTAAATAATACTAACTTTTCATGTTTACTTTAAGAATAATAATCAAACTATTAAACACAAAACAACAATAATACAAAGAGTTAAATTGTATGACTAAATGTCAACAAAATTAAATGTGATTTCAAACACAAATTTAGATTTGCACTGCAATTACATTATAATGTAAATAGGAATTATATATAATAGAAACATTGTTTATACAATTCATTTAGCTAATTGCAATGGCAAAAAATGTCAATATGACAAATTTAGACACTAACAACTGTTATAAAATGATCCATTGTAGCTAAAAATACCATGCTAAAACAGATTGATTAGCACTAAATAATTAGTGGAAAAGACTTATGCTCACCCATTAAAAGTGTCATAAGATTGCACTTATAAATTATGGTTATTTAATAATGTGTTTATAAACAAAATATTTGCAACAGTTATCAGTTTTTAATCCTAATATAAGTAGTATTGAAAAGTTTTTAAAATTATATAATCAATATTAATAATTGTGTTTTGAAAAATCAATACAAATGATCTCTACTACTCAACTACCGGTGCCGTTCATTGTGTGTCTATCGGTGCTGACCACTACATCCATCATATATTATTTGTATAGAAAAACTCGTCAAATCTTTCTACCCGTTTGT